ATGCCATTACCACGCTGAGTCACTGGATGAGGTAGCTGAACATTGTAAACAGCATGTTACAAATGCACAAGTTTTTTTTTTTTTTTTTTTTTTTTGCTTATTGTCTGACATTTAAGTTTTCATACTTGATTTATAGTGAAGGATCAAGTATATCAGTTCCCATAAAGAATTCAACAGACTCACCTGAAAACACCATTGTTTTTGTTACTGATTCCGATTTTCCCTTGGTTCCAAGCGATGGAGATCGATTTATTTGTCGTGATATTGATGTGTCTCACGCGTTTTATCTCTTCCAGTGCTTCGTTAAGGAAAAAACCAACACTGAGAAGCTTATCGTCGAATCTCATGTCCACCATATTCTGTAAGTTCCCCAATAATCATCATTATTTATCGACTTATATTGGTATTTTATTTATAGGTCATTGTCATGGATTTTACTGTTGAAAAAGAATCGTATGCACCTTGATATTCAGCAATTTGTGAGCAATAACGTAGTTTGTGACATTGTTTCTGATGCCCAAAACCAATGGGGTACAGCAAACATCATGTTTCCCAGTTCTTTGATGGTAAATTTAATGGATGTGGCAAAGGTAATTAATGCCGAAAGTCTTGGCTTGGTATAACTTTTTTTCAGGGCCTCCAAGCCAGGAAAATTGACCGTATTGACGCGTGCATGTCTGTGCTATCTTTGGCCAAGGATGCTGACAGGCTGGACAAAAAGATAATACTTTTAATTCATCATATGCAGACGGTGATTCTCATTCTACTCTACAGGCTTCTCATGCTTCCCTTTGAGGCTGTAATGCATCCCATAAATGAATCCGAATATTGTACCCGATACCTATTACCCACATTCCAATGTTTGTTTGACGATGACCAACGTTCCGTGAAACTACGATGGTAAGGTTAAAGTGATATTTGTGTACTCTTAAAGTATTTACATCTGTATGTGTACTTCTTTAGGACAAGCACAGAAGCCGTGGATGATGAATCAAAACCAGACTGCTTAATCAGTATCATGACTGCCAATTATGTAGCATGCAACATTGGATTTGGTGAGGTGAAATCCGAATCTGAATCTAAGGATCATCGAAAAGCCAATTTTGATTTGGTACGCTTGGGCATTTTTGCCAAAAACGCTATTGACAATGACTCTTTGACCGGTACTGTTGCAATTCATGCCGTTGGTAACTCATAAAAGCTTAGAGGACTGCATTTGTAAAGTTAACCTGACATACTTTTTATCAGGCACTCATGCATGTTTTTACCTTGTGCAACTGAAAGCTGATGGACTTTATACAATGATCGAACTTGGAAATATGAATGTACCGTTATCTATCTGTGAACTCCATGGATACCTTGCTTATTTGTCTGATTTGAAAGTCATACTCAAAGTGTTCGAGGATCAATGTCTTCCTATAACCACAACTTCTTTTCCCAACCGCAAGAGAAAATCATACTCATTAGAGAAAATTGATCCCATATTAACGAAGACCCGTGACCGTAAAAGGAAAAACATAGTATCGCATCAAAAATAAATACACGAACTGTTAATTTGATTTGAGATGGATTGTTTTAAACATTGACATTCACTTCTTGACACAACCAATCAGATGAATATTTCCCTCGTTTTGCCTGAGGAAGGTGAATATTATGATAACCTTCCAGGTGAGCTAAAAGGCTTTGTTTCTGGGAAAAGTCAGTGGCTCGACAAATATAACAAGCAAGAACCAAATGTATTTTTCTTTTCAGTGATGCCTCCATAGCAACAGAATTACAAAAAGAAATTGTCCCTGAGTCCAAACAAACAAACCAAAAAAAACACGTCTTCATCGATAGTCCATTTCAGCCAATCAGGTTAATTCATTCTAATTCATTTTAATTTAGGAGCTGCCAATGTGCTCATCTTGCATCTTACAATTCGAGGTCTCCAAATACTACTGATGATACTATTTAAAGCGATTGACAAGAAGGGTTGGAAAGTTTGGGGTTTTTTTTTTATCATTATAACCAGTATGTTTCATTGAGTTGTTTATAGTAAAAAGAATTGTTTTCGCTCAAATGAAAAATACGCGTAAATTAGTGTCGTCATTATGTGTGAAACTTAAAATTCGCTGCGCGTTTTAGTAGTTACGTTTTGGGCATACAAGTGTTTTTTATTTTCTCCCTTGGTGTTAGAGGCGCAGATGACAGATTCATACCTACCTTAGCTACGCTATGTCGATTTATTTCAAATCCCAACAAAATAATTTCCTTAAATAAGACTGAATCCCATAGTATTTACTTAACTTGCGAAGCAAAGAATAATGTTAAAGAAAAGTAAAAAATAAAATATTTTATTGTTTCTTTCGTTTTTGTAAATGGTAGTAAGATGTCTTTAGGTTGTGTGAAGATGAATATGATTTGAAAAGTCCGTGTGCTTTTCCTTCATCGTATATATGCTTCCAATTTCTATTTTTCCCAGCTTTGCTTTTAGATTCAATAAATAAAATATCATCTTTGGTGTATCTATCCTCGTCAATGTTGGCTCGGCTTGATTCAGCTGTATCCGCACGCTCTATCAGAAGTTTGCTTTGTTCGCTTATTAGCACAAAGCTTTGACTAATATAGCCTTTAATTTTTTTCACAGCTTCTCCTGGTATCTTGTCATCTTTATGAACATCATCTTCGATTCTTTTTATGTTTTCTAGAAACGGCTCCATCGATCCTACACATATATTTTTTGGGTCTGACTCCTTCATTGTTAGATCCTTAGAAATTTGGAAAAGAAGACGTACGATAGGATCAAATTAATATTCTAGTGAAGTCAAAGACACAGCATTACTAGTCAAAAAATACCCCATATCTACCATTGGATCCATTGAAGACTTGCCGATGTATTCCAATATAGAATTTGATGATACCAAAAAGCATTTCTTTGCCCAGAATTTGGATTCAATTTCTAGAAACGGTTTTTCATCAGCAACAATAAACTCTTCCTCAACTTCAACGCTTGAAAAGCCTTTGATAGCAAAGATGAGAATAATTAGGTATATTTTGTATCAGCAATATGCTGAAAGTGAGTAGTTTACAACTCTATTGTTACTGGGGTTAGTAAGGGGAAAAGGTGTTAGTAGTAAGGTTAAAAATAAGTTTTATAAGTAGAATTTTGGTATTGTAGTGACCACCAGATCTTAATATAAGATCAATATAAAGCAGTATAATACTAAGTCCTGTGAGATAAAGTAAAAAGTAAAATAAAAATGTTGTTAAGCAATTGGTGCTTAAGATATAAGATAAAATAGAAGTTATTATGTTCTGAAGATAAGATGATTCTTAGATGATTCTTAGATGTTGTTTATTTCATGAATAATTTGGGGATATTTATACTGTTTGTATAAGTAAATATGCAATATAAAGTATATAATAAATGATAAATAATAAATGACATATGATAAATCATAAATCATATATCATAAAAACTTGCATTAGACATGCAGAGTGCAAGATACCAAAAAGGGTATCACTGTTCATAAATTCATGATTGACTTGATTTTGGAATTCAATCAAGATGTGTGGTTTTATCTTCGTTGGTTTGCCTTCAGCTGCGCAAACGACACCAGACCTTGTCTCATCCGCCCATTCATTCGAGGCTACAGCATAACTGTTTGCTGGAATGTCTGTACCTATAATATATTATGCGTATTAAAAGCCAGTGCATTTATAATAGACAAGTATACTACCTAATAATGATTGCACAACCAAGTTCACAACCGTGGGATCATTGAATAACAGCTTGCTCATTAAACTAGAACCAGGTCTTCAGTTTCATGGTAAAGTAAATGAATTTGTATCTTGAGAATAAAAAGTTAATTAATGATATATTCAGCGAAATGAAATTCATACCTTTACTAGACATCCTTTTAGCTTTTTTTGATTGTTTGGGCAAAAAACTTCTAAAAGCGACTACGACTACGACTACGACCAAAGGGATATTCATAGACGTTTGTCGTTTAAAAAAGGAACATGTGCATATTAGAACGGTGTTTTATTATAGCATTTAATGATTTGGCGTTTAGAATGACTACAAAAGCTATAAAGATCACTGGCGAGTACATCATTACAGGCATCGCCAATCCTACTAGATAAGTTTTCTTCACTCATAAGCCGATCACGCTTCATTTTCCCTTTAACTATTGTCCAAAATTGTTCAATGGGGTTCAATTCAGGTGAATAAGGAGGTAGATACATGAATTTGTAGCCTTTACTTTCAATTTTCCGTAACATCGGCTTGGATTTATGGATAGAAGCATTATCCATAACGATGTAACTTCCCTTAAAAGTTTCATCAAGATCCATTACACTAAGAAGCTCGTTCATAAACTTGATAAAATGAGCAGTAGCCGTGCCTTTTGGTGTTGGCTTATTATCGGCAGGATCGTCGTCAACTTCTGGATCCTTTGTACTAGTCTCGGTTGCGGTTCTCTTCTTTCCATTATTAGCTTTTTTTTTTTTCTCTTGGTGGAGGTTTTCTTATGACAACGTGAACAACGCTAGACGAGTGAATAGCCCCGATCTGTGCTCTAGTTTTTGGTTGTTTTAG